CATTATCTTCTCCAACGCCATCCATTTACCCGCAAATGCCATGATTTTGTTCTTTTTTAATGCTGAGTAATATTCCATTGTGTATATATGCCACATTTTCTTTATCCATTCATCCACTGAAGGGCATCTAAGTTGGCTCCACAGTTTGGCTATTGTGAATTGTGCTGCTAAAAACACTGTGGCTGTGTCCCTGTAGTGTGCTGTTTTTAAGTCCTTTGGGTATAGACTACGGACTGGGATAGCTGGGTCAAATGGTGGTTCCATTCGAAGTCACTTTGTCAATTTTTAATTGCTTTTTTTGTTTCAATTCCATTGATCTCCGCTCTGATTTTAATTGTTTTCTGTCCTTTACTGCTTTTGGTGTTGATTCATTTTTTCCCTGGGCTTTGAGATGTCATTTTAGGTTATTTTTTTGACTTTTTCTTTTTTTTAAGTGATGAACTCCATGCAATGAACTTTCCTCTTAGTAATGCCTTCATAGTGTCCCAGAGATTTTGACATGTTGGATCTGTGTCCTCATTCACCTCTAAGAATTTTAAATCTCCTCTTTGATGTTTTCTGCAAACCTTTGTTCATTCTCCAGGTACAGGAGTAGCTTCTATTTTCATCATTGATATATAATTTCATTCCATTATGATCTGATAGAATGCAGGGTAGTACCTTTATTTTTCCGTTTTTGCTTAGAGTTGCTTTTTGGCATGACATATGGTCTCTTTTAGAGAAGGATCCATTTGCTGCTGAGAAGAAAGTATCTCTGCCTGTTGAAGGATGAAATATTCTATGTATGTCAGTTAGATCTAAGTTGTTGATTGTATTATTGAGTTCTGTAGTTTTTGTTTGGCTTTTGTTTGGCAGTTCTATCCAGTGGTAAAAGAGGTGTTTAAAGTCACCCAAAATTTTTGTCTTGTGGTCTGTTTAGCCCTTGAACTTGAGAAGAGTCTGTTTGAACATAGATGCTCCACTGTTTGGGGCATAGATATTTATAATTGTTCTGTCTTGTTGGTGTATGGTTCCCTTAAGCAGTATGAAAGGTCCTCCTTTATCCCTTCTGATTAACTTTCACTTGAAGTCCACATTTTGACATAAGGATGGAAACCCCTGCTTGCTTCCACAGTCCATGTGAGTGGTATGTTTTTTAATATTTATTTTTTGT